TAAGTGGTCGCCATCACACACGAAACAGCCACGACTTCGGTCCACCATCGTTTGTTTGGACGTATCACGGGGCGTACCACTACTCCCCTCGCCGGACTTCTCTCGGTGCTTTCCACCTTTGAATTTCTTTGACTTCCCATCCTTCTTCGTCGAGTCTTTCACATGTTCACTCGAGTCAGAGGCACCAATTACCTTAAAATCAACAAGGCGTTCGGCAGCAGCCATTGCCGTAGGCAGATCACTAACCCTTTGCCGCTGCAACTCGGCTTGGGCCCATCCTTGTAATCCCGCCATAAAGTTGAACAACTTGTCCCGCTCCGACATCTCACTAATGTCAAGCATCAAGGAACTGAAGACCTTGACATATTCACGAACTGCACCCTCTTGCTTCAGGTTTCTTAGAGCTTCCCTCGCAACCCAATCTGTGTTGCAAGGCAAGAACTGATCCCTCAACTCTCTCTTCATAACATCCCACGTTTTGATCCCTTCCCGATTCGCACTTACGTCATCAGACGCTCGCGCACGCCACCAGAGTTTTGCGTCCCCCGACAAGAACATACTCGCAATTGACACTTTCTCGTCGTCCTGGACTCTGGCTACATGGAAATACGCCTCCATGTCCCAAAGAAAATTCTCAACTTACTTGGCATCTCGGGTACCATCAAACGTTTTAGGATCTGGAATTCGGACTTTCGATGGGAATTGGCGCTGCTCCTCGAGCACACTCGCGCCCACCCTCTTCAGTAGGGCCACGTCGTCCATGATCTTCTTGACCTTGGACTCAACCGCTTCCGACAACAACATGAATTCATCTCGCGTGGAATCCATCCGCCCTTCAACGAATTCAGGCAGCGACTCCACCGAGTTCACCATAGCGTCCACCTTCTTGCTTAAGTCAGCGAGCGCATCGTCAGTTGTTTGTAATCGCTCGAAGACCGCTGCATAGAGAGGTGTTTGAGGTGGTCGCCCCATCATGTCCTCCAGCCTTTGTATCCTCGCCGTAAGGGTTATCAAGAGTTGATCGGGTCGATTTGAATCGCCCATTTTTCCAACGAACAGCAGTCAGAACCCAACGTGGGCTCTGATACCACTTGTCACAGGGTCCTTCTAGAGGCTAAAATTTTTCACTCCT